CAGAGGATGCCAGATAGCCTGGAACTGGGGAAAAGAGGCCTGATGCATCAGACATTAAGAAAACACAACAGTTCAAGGAGAATGACGTTGCCAGACTAAGGAAAGTGTTGCCGCTAAGCACAGAAATCATTTCCAGCATGATCCTCCAAGACCCTTCACTGATTAATTCAACAAATATTTCTCAAGCCCCAACTACATACCAGGTACTGCGTGCTAGGTACTCTGGTTTCAACAGAGAACAAAATGTTACAAGGTTTCTGACCTTCTGGGGATTACATTTTAATTGTGGCTGCTGATAAAGAGTGCCTGTAATCCAGACTTAGGCTGAGAGCTCCGGATTTAGTGTATGAGCTAGGCTGTGTCCAAGAACAAAAACTGGGGGCAGTCCCTTGAGGCCCTGGAGGTCTCTCTGAGGTCATTTACAAACCTGAATACAAAGAATGCCAACACTACCGAGAAGTTGACAGCTTAGGAACTACAACCTCCCCGAGTGTGAACTTCAGGTGGTCAAATGTGCAGAACCAGAAACTCAGTTCACAGTCAAGGATTCTCTGTTCTATCATAAGTCTTACGTCCACAAACAGCTGATCTTATCAGAGCAGTTGCAAGGGCCCAGCTTGCTCCACACAGGACAGAATTGTCACCAGAACTCAGTATCTATTATGCTAGACTGTCCATGGCAGTGGTTAAAAGCTCAGGTCCTCCACCCAGACCACCCAGGTTCTAAAATCTCTACCATTTACCAGTTGTGGAACCTATTAAAGCCCTCTGAGCCTCAATTTTCTCATCTACAAAATCATAATAACTATAGTCCTTGTTTCATTGGGTGACTGCAAGAACCAACCAAAAATTAGGCATGTAAAGTGCTTAATACAAAGCCTGGCCGTGACAGCTATCTAGTAGATAGCTATGATTGCTTTTCCCCTCTAAGTGGATATCGAGCTTTTTAAATCTACTCTTGCATAGCAGATGTACATATGAGGGTAAAAGTCACCATCTAGCCTATAGACTGCAAAATGGTGAGACAGTATCGTAACAGAAACTAAAGGAGGAATAAACGTGACGAGAAGACTGTGGATATTGAGGTCAAGAAGGCTGCACGCTGCCAAGTGGTCTTGGGACATCACTTCTGTACACAGTGGCTAGAAGTGTCTTGGGTTACTGTCTGCTGGAGAGCATGTGAGCGTTTTGTGGTTGTCTGCATGACAGTTAAATTATGTCAGGCTTTGGAATGACGTGAGTGTGGAAAAAGGGGGTATGTCTCCCCACAAGGGGTAGAATGAACTAGAAGAGTCAGTCCTGTTGGCCAACAGGATAAGAAAACACACCACTCTCGGTGCCTACAGAGGGGGTGGCCGTCATGTTTAAGCCACAAACAGCCCCAGGACCCAGCTATGGCAGCCAAACAAACCTGAAACAGTCAGACTTCAAAACTCGGGTACAAACACTTTCTACAAGTGCATTGGTGTGCCAGGAGCAGCTGGAGTTCAGAGAGGAAGTTCCATTAATTAAATGCACATAATTTATACCATTTTTATATTAACTTAAGCACACAGATACGTTATGCAATAGAATGAAAAAAAATCACATGAAGTTTTAAAACACATTTCNGCACACAGATATGTTATGCAATAGAATGAAAAAAAATCACATGAAGTTTTAAAACACATTTCAAGGGGCACCCTCCAACCTCAACCCCACATCCTAAGGGAGGCTGGCTGCTGCCTTTTCAATTAGGGGACTTTCAAGGGACAGTTTGAGAAGCACCAGAGTGGTGGAAAAAATACCCAGGGAGACACTGCAAGACCTGGGTTTAAGCTGGAGGGCCCTGACACCTGCTGTTCTGTTCTTTTGAGCTCCTTCATCTGGTAAATGGGGATGCTCCTCATAGACACAGCCTCAGACAAGATCTAATATGTGGCAAAGTGCTGTGCAAGTATTTCCTGGGGTTATTAGGTTATTATTATTGGACTATTGTTATTTATTAAGGTCTACAGAAATGTGCTGCCTTGGCACATTCATGGGCTGAAGCTAACCTTCTAGAATTCTGAAAGGGGAATCAGAGTTGGTGGCAAGGCAAAAAAAGTAACAGCCCAGTGTGTAAAAGGCTGAGTAGTACACACTTGTGGCACATGCATCCCGCAAATGAATCCTTAGTAGGAGAAGCTGAAGGAAAAGAGAACCAGCAACATGTGATTAACAGAAAGAGAACCAAGAAATGAGAAAACACAACCCAGTCACTTCTGTCAGTTTGCTACCCATGGTTGACTGAAGATGGAAAATCAGAGAGAGCCATCTAATAGGAGAGGGAGAAGGCAAGCACCCAGCCGCCGGTGCCTCGCTGCCTGTGGCTTACTGTTCAAATAACTGTCTGTTCTGAAGGAACCGCTGTTACAATCTGTTAAGGCTCCCTCTAGAGTGTTTCAAGTCTGTCTCCTGTTTCAGGCACCTATAATTCAGTATGCCTTTTCCAAAACACATTCAAACCTGAAAATAAAATGCAGAACAAATGCCATTCAAATGACATCATTGTTCTGAGTGACAACTAGAGGCACACTGATCCCATGACCCCAATAAATGGGGTTGCAACCTGCCATTGTCCTTTCAGTGGCAAAATCAGTGGCATCCAGCACAGAGCGTTGCATTGCTTACACTAGCAGGCATCAAACAAACGCTTGTTGAATGAAGTATCTTATCTGCCTATTTAATAGGTTAGGAAATTGTCAGCTTTTTCATCAAAACTACCACTTTTTTTTTTTTAATTCAAATCCCTCTTGAAATTCAATTCCATTAAGGCTTTGTAGTGCATACTAGCAGCAAGAAATTTACTTAAATGAGGGAAGAAAAAAAAGAAAGCAAAACTCCAAGCTCCCACCTGTGCAACCATGACATGCTATTGTTTGAGCCAGAGTACGTTATTTAACTTGGATGACAAGCTCAGGGGTGTCTTTCAGAACACATAGCTCTGAGCACACTGGGAGTTCTCAATAAACAACAGCAGCAAGAAATGCTATGGAGGGACCTCGTTTAATTATTTCTTTTTCCAGTTCCAGATTTTTGGCAGCATGTGTTTATCCCTTGCTTGATTACCAAGGGGCAGCTCTCCCCCAGAAGCTCCCATGAAGATGATAAACAGTTCTCCGGCTGCCCCTTCCCTCCGAGTCCCAGCACAAGTAGGAACACCTGATCGAGCCAAAACGTGGATTCTGAGTGCATTCGGGACGCCTGCTGTGTTTGGAAGGGAACTAAGTCCTCCAGGGCCCAATGGATAGAGAGAGGCAGTCAACAGAAATGTTTGGCTCCACACATATCACACAGCTGTCAGATGGCAAAGCTTGGACTTCCACTATTGTTACCTGCTGTGGGCCTCCAAGCTGTCTTGTCATTAACCCCAGAGACCAAGAGCCTTGAGCCTGACACAAAGTAATATTTGGGGGTATTTTCAAGTCTTTCAACAGAAGAGTAGAAGAAGGTGATGACTGAACTATTAGATTATAAACATCTAATAAAGGCAGGTATTACATATTAAATTATATGTGTATAGCAAGATGAAGTCCTTTAGGGTATGCTATGTGTCATTTATGCTTTAAAAAATTATACCAGTGACTCAATGAAGGCTTTATGTGTGTGTCTCAGCACACACCTGATAAGCAAGGACAAATAAGCAAAGGACCACTCTAATGAGCCTTGAAAAGGACCTCAGGTTTTTTTCCCTCCCTGGATAATAGGGCTAATACTTGGTAAGATGGGTTTTGCAGAGAAAGGAGTGGGTGGGGGTGGGAGTGTCTTTCTACACACATATTAATATACCTTAGAGCCAATGCTTCCCTGTATGCTTACACAACAATTGTACCAACACAACACATTTTCCAAGTGGAGAATTCTCCCCTGCCTCTCTGACGCATTTTATGCCAAAACAATGGCAACACCTGTAGCCATTAATTTCTGCTCTTTGATTTCTGTCCAGTTATAAAGGAGGCTCTCAGCAGGCGCCCCTCTCAGGGGCCATATGTGGAGTGGATGTGCCAGCAGCCTTGGAAGGAAACCGGCCTCTGAGAAGTGCACAATGGCTCCATAATCCCCATCAACTGGACCCTCTTGAACTGCCGCTTTATTTTCCAGTCAAAGAAATGCCAATCTCAAGAGTCACGCTGAGGCTGTCCTGGGAAGCCAAGGGAAGCCTGTGCTGTTTGCCCGGTTGGGTACAACACCAGGGTGGTGCCTCTGAGCCCCACGATTTAGCCAGGCAATCTGAAGCCCAGAAGCTGCCTGTAGCACCCCAGCACTTTCTCTTGCTCTCCCCTCCAGGGTGAGGCTTTAACCTACAAAGCCACCTCTGCCTTCCAGCCTCCCCCCCTCCCCCCCAGCGGGAGACCACAGCGCACCCTCAGCAGAACCACAGCCCCGCCCCCTTGCACCGGGTCCCGAAGAGGGTTTTGTTCCACCAAACAGGATCCTCTTTTCCACGCTAGCTCTGCCCCATGTTCAGCAGGCTACCAACTCTTCAGACCACATCACGTGTTACCGTTGCGGGGAGCACAAGCCTGGGGTGTGGCAGCAAGTCCTTTAGGTTCAGTGGCTTCTGTGCCGAGGGCACTCCGGTAACCATGAGGAGGAAAGGGGTCAAAGGAACATGCCTGCTAAAACCACACACCTGGGTCAGCGACTAGGGAAGGAAGGGGGTGGGGCTGCATGGGAGGCTCAGTCCCCCAAACAAGTGTCCACATTTGGAGAGTAAAGGATGGCACTGGGATGCAGCCACTGGAGTTTTGAGCCTAACTCCTACTCTCTCCGCCTCCCTTTTTACACTCCCTCTGGGGACTTCAGGCCCTGCTCTGGAGTCTCGGCGGCCTCCCAGACCGCGTGAGAGCGGCCGTCGGCGCCCGCCGGGCAGTGCGGATCCTGGCCCTGGTAAATGCCACCTGGGTCTCTCCCGCTCTCTGCCTTGGCGGCGGCTCCCCAGGCGGAGCGCTCCTGGCAGCGTCGGGGACAGGACTTACGCAGTTATGATCCGTGCCCTCGAAGTCCCACTTGCAGCTCCTGGCGCGCGCCTGGATCTCACTCATCCTGAAGAGGCAGAGCGCAGTGGTGGCCGGGGAGCGCCTCTCCTGGCCCTCCCCGGTGGCCGCGCTGAACACACCAGCCCAGACGTCCAGGGCCTCCACCAGGCTGGAGGAGAGGAGCAGGCGGCGGCCGTAGGGGTGCCCGTGGCCGCAGTCGAGGGCCGCCTGGCCCTGGAACTGCACCTCGGTGTGCTGCGCGATGCGCGCCATGCTGGGCCAGCCCGTGGCGTCGCCGCTGGTGTAGTTGTAGGGATAGTACGGGAAATAGACGCTGGCGTTCCAGAGAAAGGCGTCCACGAAGTGAAGGCTGCCCGAGCCCCCACCGTGGAGCTTGAGGCTGCCCAGCTCCTTCGTGCGCAGGCTGCGCCCCTCGGTGTCCTTGATGGCGATGGCAGTGTTGCGGTCGGACGCTGCCGGGTTGCAGCGGCTCACCGTCTCGGTCTCCGGCAGCACGTAGGTAGCGGCCACGGCCAGGTACCAGTGGTTCTCCTTGCCCTCCCCGGCGCGGTACACCACGCCGGCCGTCGAGCCCTGCGGGTGACAGGACACCACCTCCGTGCCGTTGCGCAGGGAGCTAAGGCTCAGGTTGCGCAGGGGCCGCACCTCGCAGGCGCCTCGGTCGAAGGTCCAGCCGGTGAGCAGCAGCCCCCCAAGGCCTGTCGCCCCCTCTTGGTAGGGCAGCAGCAGCTTGCTGAAGCTGCTCCCCGGCCGGGGCCGCGCGGGAGGCGCCAGCGAGACGGGCTCCGTGCAGTTGCCCGCTTGGTCCCGGTACAGGCGCGAGAGCCTGTGCTCCAGGCTGTAGTCCAGCTGGTCCAGGCAGCTGCCGCTCGCCACGAACACGCCGTCAGCCCGGCTCACCGCGATGGCTCCGATGGCTTGCTCGGACCGCCACACGGG